ATAATGCAAATTACGTCATCCATTGATAAGATGGCGACATCATTATGAACGAAGAATCAAATGAAAGATATCAAAATTTCACTGAAATGGAAGAATTTAGGTCAATTCCATACATTTCATCAATTTTTATGAAATTTCACTGAAAATAAATGAAGAAATTAAGTTGTAAATTTCATTGAAATTTCACTTGAAAATATTTTCATTTTAAACATTTTATTTATTTATGTAAATACAGTAAATAAAATATGTGGTTTTGTAAAATATTTCATATAAAATAACATGGAGTAACTTGACCATAGAGAAATAACTTGACCATTACTTTCATTTTATTAACACTGTCTTAATCAGCCATTAGCAGACAAATTTACAAAATGTTAGTAAGACTTTATAAAATAACCAATCAAAATCCATGTTTCAATGGTTGCCTAGATCAACTTTCCAGTTCTTTCTGTGTCCAATTTGATATTATTACAATTGTGTACCCTGGAATCAATTTAGTCTGAGAAAAAATACTCATCTCTTGTTATATGACACAAACATAGTGATTATGGTATGATTTGACCACATGACCAAGTCATATAACATGACATTAGTGGTGTTCAAGTCTAGCTCTTTAATCTACTTTTCTACTAAGTGATTTTGAATTTTAATCTATCAATACTCAAACTTTTATATTTCAGAGTCAAATATTTTCAACTTATTACTATATCTATAGAGACTGACCAGGAGAAAATTTTGACTGCAGAATTGGTCTAAAAAATAAACAAAAGAAGAAGAAGAATAATAAAGAAACAATAAATATAAAATATAAAGGAAAAATTGTTTGTTATATTGTTTCTACAGAAATAAGTTTAATGGAAATTTCCATAATATATGTCATATTGCATCATATTTCACATTTTCAATGAAATTTTGATATGAATTGAGATTTCACTGAATTTCAATGAAAGATTTAAACAAAATATACCAAAATTTCAGTAGTATTTTGTGAAATGTCAATGGATTTTGGGGTGAAAATTCAATGATATTTTCGTAAAATTTCAATGATATTTTGAGATTTGGTTGGTGTGCAAAATTCTGTTAAATAAAAATTCTGTATGATATCTATCATTGATCTGTTGGTATAAAATATTAATTTACAGTCGTCAAAGAAACATCTGTTCAGTGGGAGATTTTTCATTTACTATAAATACCAAATCTAGCATTGGCAGTGTATCAACAAGTCTTTATAAATATAATATAAACAGGTCGTGTTAACGTTAAAACCATGAATAACCCATTATGTTCCGCTCTGTTGATTTCCGTTGTATTGATTCTTACAGACGCCGGTAAATATTTTATTTTTTATCTAAAAGTTGCTTTATGAATCTAGAGTCTAAGTTTGCATATCTGGGCGAAATTTATGTTAGCTTTTTTTTGTGGGAAGAGTCCGAGTCAGAAGAAATTTACTCAAGACAACTTTCTTTTCAGCAGCATGGATAACTAGCTTAAACACATTTTAAATCATCTTTGTCTGTAAATAGTAAATTAACATGTAGTTCTTGAGACCAATACTTGATAATATAATTGTCGGGGGGTAGTGTATCGAGTCAGAAGTAAATAATGGCAAAATAATATCAAAATTAAATTTACAGGTTGTTTAACGTATCCTAATATAACAGACGCAAATTTTGATAAAGATTGCAATGGAAATGTAGTCATTACATGTTATGAAGGTTTCAAGATGGTACAAGGGCTGGAATGTGTTGAGGAAGAATGGAGATATCAAAACCCAATATGTAAACGCACAGGTAAGATAATTTTAAATACTTGAATTACAAATAAACAATATTAGCTTTGACACATCAAATCACCCAGTGAAGAGTTTATATCACCTTCCTCGATACATGTTATAATACATTATATAGTGGAATTCA